ACGTATTAGAGCTACATATCGACACGTATTAGAGCTAAGTATCGACACATATTAGAGCTACACATCGACACGTATTAGAGGTACGTATCGACACGTATTAGAGGTACGTATCGACACGTATTAGAGCTACACATCGACACGTATTAGAGGTACGTATCGACACGTATTAGAGCTACACATCGACATGTATTAGAGCTACATATCGACACGTTAGAGCTACATATCGACACATATTAGAGCTACATATCGACACATGTTAGAGCTACATATCGACACGTATTAGAGCTACGTATCGACACGTTAGAGCTACATATCGATACATGTTAGAGCTACATATCGACACGTATTAGAGCTACGTATCGACACATGTTAGAGCTACATATCGACACGTATTAGAGCTACGTATCGACACGTTAGAGCTACATATCGATACATGTTAGAGCTACATATCAACACGTATTAGAGCTACGTATCGACACGTTAGAGCTACATATCGATACGTATTAGAGCCACTTTACGTCGACAGCCACAGAAAACAAATTTGTGGTTATGTTGCATTAAGTTGAAGGTTACCAACATAAGATTACTGTAATGACTAATTACATTACATATGACAAAATTCCATGGTTTTTCCAAAATGTTCAAGGATTTTACTTATTCCATCACATTTCCAGGCCTGGAAAACAAGATTGTGAAATACCATGAATTTTTCAGGTTTTCCATGATTGCGGAAACCCTGGTTTGAGGATTTAAATCCCTTTTTGCAGGCAAAAATACTGTCAGTGTTTTTTAAATAGTTTTTTATTATATTAAAAAACAGAAAAAGGGTATTTGGGAAAATGTCAGAAATGCCCTTTCATCTCGTCCGGCTGGATGGACATGTCAGCGTCTATGTTTGACTGATAGCAGCTGGCACAGAGTAGGGAAGTAGAGACTAAATAAATACACTTGTAGCCGACATGTCATGGACAGACAGCATGTTGTTGTTGGTATTAAAGAGTAAGGACCACAGCAGTATATGACCAGACACGACTAACATACAGGTACAACATACATTCAAGTGCTGCAGCTCAGGAGCTGATTGGCTAACTGGCCTGCAAACTGAGGTAAGTGGTGCACTTTTTGTTTGTATGTTTGTTTGTTTGGAGGCTCATTCAGCGAGTTAAGGTGCAGCACAAGATGTGTTCACCTTTGTAAGTTTGATAAGGAGAGTTTAGCAGGAAGCTAATGTGGGGCGTTCTTCATGTGAAGCTGCTGTCTGCAGTCTGAAGCAGTTTGATTGGCTGTTCTTCATGTACATAGACTGACACACATGCAAATTTAATTTCAGCTGGACTCATTAAATGGCGTCACACTCTGACCTGTTATTGCTTTGACCACGTTCTCAGAGACTTCGGGGATTTCTTCGTCCATAGACACACAGAGCATCTGGATGGTCACCCAGTGTAACGCCCTGCAACACAGACAATCAGCGCAGTGAGCTGAAAGCTTTTTGTTTTTGTGCATATGACGCACATTTGTTACAGTCACGTCCCCCTGGACGACAAACATGTGCAGTCAGCAGCTGCTGCTGTGAGATCAGTTTTCACAGACTGCTGAAGATTAAAGACGAGCACCGTGTGCAGTGACGCTTAGAAAGCCACACTTCCTCTAAAGGACACACGATCGAACCAGCAAACTCACCTCTGGATTGAATCTGAATGTGTGTGTAATGTAACATGTGCCACTTCTAGTAATTGCTGCCAATATACACCACTGTTTAAACATCAGGAATCAGCTGTTATGTTGATGTTCTTCTCTTTTCCTTCAATAAGATAAAAACAGTATAATTCAGACACCAAATATATTTACATCTGAAATAGTTTTGTCCCCAAAAGAAGAAGATTCAAACTTCATTCAGTCGATGTCACTAAGTGTTGCATGACAGGTGAGAATACTGTTGAAACTTGGACTGTCCAGTCCAAAAAAGTCACTAACCCTCGATCATTAATGAATTGTTGGTTCAGAGATGGTCTTCTGCAGTAACCAGTGGTTATTTGACTTCCTGTTACCTTTCTATCATCTTGAACCAGTCTGGCCATTCTCCTCTGACCTCTGGCATCAACAAGGCATTTTGGCTCACTGGATATTTTCTCTTTTTGGGACCATCCTCTGTAAACCCTAGAGATGGTTGTGTTGAAAATCCCAGTAAATACTCAGACCAGCCCGTCTGGCACCAACAACCATGCCACGTTCAAAGTCACTTAAATCACCTTTCTTCATCATTCTGATGATCCATTTGAACTTCAGCAGGTCGTCTTCACCATGTCTACATGACAATGTTAATGAGGTGCTGACACATGATTGGCTATTTGCGTTAATGAGCAATTAACCAGGAGTACCTAATAAAGTGGCAGATGAGTGTTTATCAGTGAGAGCATAACAAAGTCTTAAACCTTAAACCTGTGAAAAATGGGAACAAAAACAAAAGTGTTATGTTTAAATTTGTGCTCACAGTTTGATGCTACACTTCCAGTTTCTTTCACCAGTGATCGCTGATTTCTTCTGTTCTTGTTGCTCAGACGGATCTTTGTCTCTTTCACAGCTTTTTATTCTCCATGTACAAAACAAATCTTTCATACAAAATAACATCTGTTGGCAAACAAAGCTTTCTCACCTTAAAGCATTAAAGACCATTTAAATATACAGAGTCATCCTCTCAGGATCCTGACTGCTTTTGTTGCACGAGATTTCAACTTCCGAACGGTAGCGTAGATTCTAATTATTATTATTATTATGAAAACCTGGCTGCCCACCTTATCCTGTTCTGCGTGGCCAGATCCTTCTTCTCATCATCAGTGGTTTCAGGACAGAACACGCTCTTATACAGACGAGTCATGATGTACTTTTCCACTTGGTCCATCACCTGCTCCACAGACTCTGAAGAGCCTGGTGAACACACAGGTATCACACCACATCAGTTTAGAGCTGATGAGCTGCATGTGCTGCCATCTGGTGTTTGCCAGATTAATAGAGAACTTATTATTGGAGACATTTACTGAATGATGCGGGAGAGAAACTTTTCTGAACCAACCTTTAAAGTGACCCATCAACCGGTCGGCTAGGTTCTGGTAGAAATCCTGAACACACTCCGACAGCTCATCAGCACTCAGGTCCTGAGCGAACGATAAGTTAGAGGCTCATTAAAAAACACTTGTTAAAGACCATTATTATTTTTGTTATTATTATTATTATTATTATTATTATCCAATTAGATGTCAAATCAGACCTTCTTGCTCGACATGTTCACAATGAAGGCTCGGCACTGCTTGTGGATCTCCCGGCCGGGCTTTTGGAGATTTTTCAAGAAGTCCACAAAGTCCTTGGACACCTGGTCTGTATCGAAGCTGGCATGGCGGCTAATGGACGGACTGGGTGTCTTGCCCTCTTGGGTTTCTGATGAAGAAGATCCACATTTAGTGACACATGGCTGCTGTAGTTTCCAGGAAATAGTTCCAGTATGAAACTTGTTTGTGTACAAATGAAATAAACAACATACAGCATGTTAAACAGTGAGCTTTAGAGGTACTGGTATTCTTTAACTGGAGGCGAGTTGTTTCCTCCTCTTTATGCCAACTTAAGTTAATTAATCAAGCTCCAGCTCCTTACTTAATGTTTAATGTCTGATTTTTTCGACCTGAAACTTTTTTCCCCATGTTTTTGTGTTTGAGTGACTAATGGGAACAACAGTTTTTGAAACGGGTCCAGTGCTGAGCGAAAACGCTGCAGGCAGCAGCGTTGAAACAGGCTGCAGTGTAAAAACTTGGGGCATGTTTTCACCGTCAATTTACATCTACTAAAAGTGTTTGTTTCTGTCACTGACAGGCTCAGATTGTTATACTGACTGTCTGACAACATTATAGAAAGGATCCCTACAGAAATAGAGCTTTGTGTTAAAGGGTAGGATCCTTTTTGTTTAACCAGAAACAGCCCTGAAATCACCATCACCAAACCCACCAGACTCCATTTAAATAAACAGCAATTTTATCGTAAAAAAACACTTCAATCAAAGTCGGCAGAAACAAAATAAAACTCACAAAAGTCATCTTGGTCTGTCTTTCTATTGTTCCAACAATCACCATCTTTGGTTTGATTACAATAAACCCCTAATTCAGCCAGTTAGGTGTGAAAACATGCTGCCTCTATTCAAGCTAAAATTACTGTTTATTTAAATGGAGTCTGGTGAGTTTGGTGATGACGATTTTCACCCATTCTCGAGAAGTAGGACAAATCATATCCTACGCCTACCCTATGGAAAGGTGTAGGGTATGAATGCAAACCCTTATCCCTGATTCAGACTCTTCAGATATCCCAGGCTCGCCTAAACGCAGCACGACGCTGTGGCAACAAACCAGCAAGAAACTGTAACAGACTGGTGTAGGTGCTAAGCTGCTTTACATGTCCAACCTTTCTTGGGAGCAGTGCGTGACGAAGGGCTGAAGAACTTCTTAACGGTGGTCACTTTCCGTGTCTTTTCGTTGGTCTTCTTCTCCTCAAACTTGGAGAAGGGTCCCAGGGAGGCGTGCCCCGGATGTGGCTGTGGTGCCGTGGGCTGGGGGTGGGACTGTGTCTGTGCTCCGTGACTGCTGGCGTACGCTGCCTCCTCCTCCCGCTGCAACCTGGAGACAAGATATGTGACAGAGCGAATATCAGTGGGAGATTAAAGAGGAAAATTCAGCATCATTGCATCTTTTCCAAACAATTTCCTGTACTTCAAGAAACTGCAGGGACATTTTAGAAATGTTTCACTCCATGAAATGAAGGTGGTGTTGTCGATGCAGCAGACACCAGACGGTCTTACTTTTCTGCCAAGGCCCAGTCGTCCTGGATCTGTTTCTGCCGCACCCGCTGGTACTCCTCCCTCCAGCACTTGGAGCACAGGCCCTGCCAGGCTGCGTTGCCATAGTAACCGCATCCCTTTTTGCACAGCAGGTCCGATTGGTCCACGTGTATCCCCCCCCGCCGCTCCGTCCGCTGACTCATGATGCTGGACAACCTGGAATGGAAAAATTCATCATCTAATTTATGAGTGTGTTTGTATGCGCTGCTGCACTCGTCTCTGCGGAGTGTGTCTTCATATTATTGCACATCATATTACACTGTCTCACACCTCTGAAAGAAAACAACCTTTCCTCATCACATTGATCAGGTGCTCAACACACAAATCAAACTGAATGCTAACACGTCTGCTGGAAATGAAACTTGCAAACATTTTAGTCATAGCAGCTTTATTAGCTGGTGGTTAAAGGGACGCTCCATAAAGTTTGCAGACTTGCAGGGAACAGCTCCCCTCGGACTTACGGAGCTTTTTGGGAGTTTCAGTTACACTACCTGCTCAGCAGAACAGCAGACAGACACAGTCAGAGACCAGCTGCTGAACATAGAGAAGCATGGACTTCCTGTTCGTTTTAGGATTGATTTTAAGATGTTATTGCTGGTTTTTATTGTTTTAAACGGTCTGACGCCTCCTTATCCAGCAGAACTATCGTACCTTCACACTGAAGTTACAGCACTGAGGTGTTGCTGGATGTTCCAAGACGTTCCCAGACGTAGACACAAGAACAGCAGCGACAGAGCATTTGCAGTGGTGACCCCTTAACTCTGGGACAGCTTACAGTACAAGCTAGAATTACTGCCCCATGGTTGTATGCCTCTGCAAGATGAGTTACTCTTTCAGTTTCCATCCATGTCTGTAATAATAATAATAATAATAATAATAATAATTATTATTATTATTATTATTATTATTACATTATTATCATTGTTGTTATTATTATCATTGTTGTTTGTATAGCACTTACCTAAACAAGTCTACAAAGTGCTTCACAGAGTGCATTAAAATAAGAACAATAACAATACAATATTTTAAAAAAAATAATGTTAAGAGCTTAAGAAAAAAATAGTGTTAATGTGAAGAAACCTTACAGTCTTGATTTTTAAGTTTTAACCATTGGTTTTTACTTTCTTTTTATCTCTTCTGTTGATTTTTATTCTATTTTATTTATTTATTTAGTTTGAGTTTTAATCATCTTTTTGTTACTTTGTTCTGTTTTGGTTGGTTTGTTTTTTTAATATTTTACTGTTTTGTGTCTGTGTCATTCCGATTTTTCCATGTGAAGCATTTTGGGCTGCATGTGTGTATGAAAGGTGATATATAAATAAAGTTGAGTGTACAGAGGCAAAAATAGAATAAATGGGAATAAATCACATGAGAACTATTGAGGCATTAAAAAGAAAAGCTGTCCTATAAAGATATGGTCTAAACTGGGCAAAAAGAGGCAAAAAAATTTAAATAGATGCATTTTGTATTTATTTTACCGCAGATTTTTTCAGAAAACATGCCATGTAGTAGAATGGTTGATAATGGTGGACTCTGCTAACCTCATGATTATATTTAGGGACTGTTTACAAACATGCCTTCCAAACCCACCCTGCATGTTTTCTTTAAAAATCGCCAGAATGACACCATTTATCACAGCAAGAACTGCAAAAACAGAAATGAGCTTTTGATATTCAAATTTTTTACAGTCCTCGGACACATCATGTGCAATGAACGCTCCTGTCAGAAAAAAACACAAAACCTAATCTGATCTTAAAACAGTGATATTTTATCAAAATGAATTTATTCTACGTCTCAATTAAAATTTGGCACAAGGTAAACCGTTTGCACAAACAGACCTGTATGCGCAATAAGAGAGAGAGAGGAAAAAAAGCCGTTTTTCAACTCCAGGATTTTGTCTTTAACTTTTACCTTTTGATTTTCAGACATCAAAGGGTTAGTTTTAAAAATCTGATAACTAATTTATGGTGGAGGGAGGGTCGTCCATTTTCCGCAAGTAACTCAGCTCAAAGAAATAGCTTCAGGTAGGGTAAAAACAAACAAACGAACAAAAACAATACTTAAGTCACACTGCAGCCACTCTCCTCCTCTGATAAGTAAAGAACAGTCCCTTACTCAAGCAAAGAACTAATACCTCTAATATGCACTTTAGCACAGTATGTGAGTAAATGCACATAGTGACATTCCTTCACTGCAAATAATCAAATAACTACATATTAATTACTTAATAATAACAGTAATAAAAGCCAAACAGACGACCTGTGAGCTGTGGTTTTGTCTCTATTGGTGTTTTTACTTTAATTATTCGTCCTTCTGTGGCTCAGTTAGCTCAAATGCTGCAGTATTTTCCGCATCGATCACTGAGGAGTCACGTTAGCTATAAAAACAGTTCATATCACGGTGCCACTAATGTTTAATTAAACATGTCAGCTACCTACAGCGGTGCTTTGACACTCACCTGTAATGTTTTCACCGATCAAGAGCAGGAACAGACCTCCTCTTCTGTGGTTAGGAGATGACGAAACCTACAGGGTGAAGACAATGACGTTACCATGACTCTGACGATCACGGCATTTCACCGATATGAGGGACATTTATTCAATTTATCATCTTAAAACGGGAGGAGAGTTTTTGTTTGGATTAAAAAGCTCAAATTTAAGGGATTTTTTTTTTAACTAGAAATGCTTATTCAAGTCATAGATCTACTTACTTCCGCGTTTGGGACTAATTTTAAAGGATTAGTATATGACGTCACGGGGCTCCGCTCCGTACATGCGCACAATGAAGAGCGAAAACTATCAGACTTTTGGACATTTCGGGTTCATTAAATCATGGTAGATGGTCTGTGATCAAAAGTTTATGAGCTTTATTATTTCTTATTCTTATTCTTATTCTTATTATTTTCAAGGCACCTTTTTTAAGTCCATTTATTTAAGATTTTGAAATTATACAAACTATAAGCATAAGCAATAAAAACAAAAACAAACTCAAGCAACTCAAATAATACCGTCCATGTTTTATTTTATTGTTATTATCTTGTATTGTCATTGGTTATCGTATTCTTTTATTTTTTGTATATTCTAATTGTTTGATTTGATGTGCCTCAGTGCAATCTACATGGCAATTAGTTGCGAACTTTGCTCATCTGCTTCAGTGATAGTATCTTTATTTTTATTTTATTTTATTTGTATTTCCTGAAACGGCCTAATTTTATTTGTTTAAATCCGGCATTGCATTCAATGCAGGATCAACCATGTCAAGCACTTTGTTACTTCGTTTTGAAAAGCACTTTATAGATTTTAAGTAAATTGTAAGTTTATTATTATTATTGTTATTATTATTTTCATTATTGTAAGAAGAAGTTAAAAACTTTTTCTGGTCCTACCTCCTCTTATTTTTTTCATATTAATCAAAGAAAATAAAAGTTCAATTAGCAGCCACCAGTGTCCGTGATATTTACCATCGCTGTCTTAAACAAATCAACCCTTTTGGACAGAACAAGAGCAGAACAGTCAGAACAGTTGTACCAAAACCATCCACTACTCCACAAACAATAAATAACCAAAGACAAAATAACTGGGAGAACTTCATTTATAAACATCAGTGGTCCAAGAACGGAGCCATGGGGAACACCATAGCAAACCATACAGGGGATATGGCAGACCTAAAGCTGCTAATGGAGACAGTTGTGCTACTATACTCATAATCACTACACTTCTATTGTAATTCTGACTCCACTATATGTATTTAATACCTTCAGTTATTAGTTACTTCACAGATTTTGATTATTAATATAAAAAACTACTACATTTTGATGTGTTATTAAATGTTAAGATACCCAGCAGGACTATATAAAGCAGGCTAACTTAAATGAGCTCCGCCAAGTGATAAACACATGAATGCATCAATAATTATAATCTGGTAATAGAACATATATAATTTAAAAACAGGCCATTCTACATTATGAGTTCTTTTATGTACTTACATAAGATCTGGAATGCAGGACTTTTGTTTGTAACTGAATACTTTTACACTGTGGTATCACCACTTTTATTTAAGATACAGTATGAACACTTCTGCCACCACTGGCAGTGGTAACAAAATCCTCCACAAGCAGCACCTAAAGCTGCAGGAATTAACATCTGTTTATCTTGTAGGAAAACTGAAATTTAAAAACGAGAAATTGTGGGTATGTGTGACTTTTTCTTACTTCTCAGAGTCTCTCTAGTTACATTCATACATTTTCACAACAGTTACAGTCGGGCTACAGACATCCAGAGTTATTTCTGGACATTATCGAAGATGTTCAGTATGTTTTTGACGTATGTTAAGTTGATCTGACAGTCTCAGCACAGTAAATCTGTCCCTCACAGTGAGCTGACTGCTGTCTTATTGACACTGAGGTTAATGTTCAGTGGTTTTATCTGAAGCTAAATGCCAGTGTGATTACAAAAAGTGCTGTAGTATCAGTTTTAATTATCAGCCACACTGAATCTGAAACAGGAGGTGATTTAAAGCTCGGTGTGGCAGTGATATGTATTTTAATAATTTACTTTACTTTTTTTTCTAAGCTGAATACTGTCTCACTTCTGACATATTGATTTTTCACTGGACAGTGTTCAGTCACACTTTAAATAAATCCTGCACTTTCAACCTTTGGCAGCAGAGATAGAAAACTGACACAAATAGAGTGAGAATGGCAAAACATGTGACAGACAGGCAGTGGTGTAGGAAGTTCTATTTAGAGCAGTGGTTTTCAAACTTTATGTGCTCATTGCACCAAAGAGCAAGCCAAAATCTCAAGGCACACCTGTATTTGTGCACAATAGCTTCTATAACGTGTGTTATATTACTTCATGTTTTTATTTACTAATATCAAATAACAATTGACAACCAACCATTACTCATGAAATATTTATTAACAAAATGATTCAAAAATGAATTTTAAACTTTTAAAATTACATCAAAGCACCAATAACACATCCATTTAAACAGGAAATAATGTAAGATAATGTAATCTGTCTCACGACAAGAAATAGGTTCCCCATGAAGGTTTTTGAAATTAAATTAAATTTCATGTAATTTTTTTGTATAGACTCAATTGCATATTGCAATAATAGACTAATGTGTGGTTATCACAAAATCCCACGACACACCTGGATTTGCATCATGACACACCATTTGAGAACCTCTGATTTAGAGCATTTCCATGTGTAAATGCATTAATACCACATCACCAACAAACATTGACTTTCACCCAAGAGAGCGGTGTTCACGTCCCATAAGATTCTGAAGCCAAACCCTGTTCTTTTTTCCCCTAAACCTAACCATGTGTTTTTGTTGTTGAAGGAAAAAAAAACATGCCAATTCACCTGGTTGTACTGACGTAGTGCTTTTAAATTGAAAGAGACTGTATGTGAACTGTACATTTCCTGTGAAAACAGAAGTGTATTTTGAAAGAAGACAATACATGTAACAGGCTGAAGTTGGCGTTCCAGAACATCAACAACCAACACACCCAGGGTACCTTTCACCGTGATAAATGGTGTCATTTTGGCAATCTGTTTTAAAATGAATACAATCATACAACCATTTTAAGGCTGTATGCCCCTCCCCTTAGCCAATATAAAAAAATATAAGTCCCTCCTCAATGCTTAAAAAATTATATAACATGCCTCTCCCTTTTTTCCCCACAAATACAACATGCTAATGTTATTAGCACAAGCCTATGGCATTTTAGCTTACATTGTATAAATTAGCCTAGCAGCTGTCGATCTTTTCTTCTTCTCATATTAAACCAGGGACAACAGCAACATTTAACGAAGGTAATGGTACATAATTTGGCTCCATTACAACTCACAAGGTTCACTGACAAAACAACTGTCACACCAAACATGTTTTCCAAGCAAATAGAGCATGCTAACGTTATTAGCACAAGCCTATGGCAGTTTACATTGTATAAATTAGCTTATCGACAAGTGGAGATTTCCTCTTCTCATATGTAGTTAGTAAATCTATATCCTCCTGAGACCCAGACTTTTTTTTGTAAGTATTTTTAATTTCTTCTACCTATTTCTGATTAGTAGGACTTGGTAAGAAAAGCCCAGAGTGACACCTTCACAGTATTTGTTTAGATCAACCAACAGTCTAAATCTCAGCATTATTAAAAATAAATCAGAATTATTGAGATTAATAGAAAATGGGAAAGCAGCAAAGACTCACATCATTAAGGCTGGAACCATTGACTGTTTTTGCATGATGATTATCAAAATAGTCTCAGGAGGACTTCACATGTTTTGTGTGCAAAAATCTTCATTTGTAAAGTAACTAAAGCTGCCAAATGGCTGTAGTGAAATAAAAGGTACAATATTTGCCTTTGAGATGAAATGAAAAAGAAGTAAAAAGTGGCATCAAAAGAAGAAACTCATGTGAAATACAAGTTACTGATGACATCTGTGTGCCCGGGGCAAACAAACACACAGAGGGTCAGAAACACAGATAACAAGCAGACACTGGTTAGACAGACAGACATACAGCTCCAGCCATGATCCTGATGGGTCGCACTTTGTGTCTTCCGTCTCCAGCCACCGTTCAGGAGTTGTTCTCTGTGGCTCGAGACGCCAGCGTCATCCCTGATATCTCCTTGGATCCCGTCCTCACTACCTTCCTCTCGCTGGACTCCTCAGATGCTCTGCAGCATCAGTATGCCTTCTTACAGCGCAGCATGACCGGGGAGCAGCAGACTGCGTTCGGCCTCAGCCTGACAGGACAGCTGGGAAACAGCAGCAGGGTCACCTATGGAGGAGTCGGGGTTGTTGCTCTGGCTCTGTCCGTGCTTTTTGACCAGGTTGCCCAACAAGTAGGTTTGTTTTGTCTGTTTGTATGGCATACCGTCATCTGCAGGGTTCGATAAGCTCAGAACATCCTCTGATTTATTTAACAGTCTTGAAAATAATGTTGGATAGATTGCCATAAAATTTGGTCCAGATGTTCATGTTTCCCACAGCACTGATTCCCAAACTGGGGGTCCCGACCCCCACTAAAGGTTCATAGGGGCTCGTAAGGCCGTCTTGGTTTTAAGGGGTGTAAGAAAACATAGAATATATATTCATTATTATGGGCTAAAATTTAGAATTGCAGATTTCCCATTATCCCACCAGATCCGAGCACAAGGATCCACAGAAGGCGACCCATCTGCTCAGACACCTCCCCAGGCTAAAAGGATTTTTGGGATCAGCAGATCATCAAGAATTGGCTGGATCATCCACAGCTACCTCCGCCTGATCCCCGGCATCGCCAACAACCAGGAGAAGATGGCCGAGACTACAGAGCTCTACGACAACTGGCTGAAGCTCGAGCTAATCGACCATTATGAGAGGATGACCACGAAGAAGAGGATGAGTTCAGTGTCCATGCAGCAGTGGTTGGCAGGAGCTGCGTTTCATCTCCACGTCAGATTTCACCAGGTCAGGACACACACACACACACAGCGTGGGTTTCCTCCAGGTGCTCCAGCTTCCTCCCACAGTCCAAAGACATGCAGGTTAATTGGTGACTCTAAATTGTCCATAGATGTGAATGTGAGTGTAAATGGTTGTCTGTCTCTATGTGTCAGCCCTGTTAGTCTGGTGACCTGTCCAGGGTGAACCCTGCCTCCCCAACAGGATAAGTAGTTATGGAAAATGAATGAATGAATGAATGAATGAATGAATGAATGTATAATTTTTGATTTGGGGCTATTCATTAAACATTCAGGGCTGAAGCCTTGGATGCTCAGGACAAACAACGCCACTGGTTTTCAGTGTGGTTAGTGAAACTGCTGAAAGGTTTGATCGGCTGATCTTAGGGGCCTGGCTGGGCTGTAAGAGGTTAAAGGTTCTTCAACATAATGTGGAGCCGGTGATTTAAAATGTAAAGTGTATTCGAGGGAAACCAGTGCAGTGATGCTAAAATTGGAGTGATATAACAAAACTCTCTAGACTTAGTTAACCTGGCTGCTGAGTTCTGTATAAGTTGCATTTGTGCGACTGAGTTTTGCTCTTGTCCCAACAGGTTCGTCTGCACTCTGTGCCCGTAGGATCAGCCGAGTCACTGCGTCTGTCTTATAAGACAGCGTTAGGTCGTCTGGTTCAAGGCTACACAACTTACCTACACAGAAACATTAAGGAGACTGGAGCTCCAGGACCCCGAAAACCTAGTATCAGGACAGCCAGTGAACCAGCACAAACTGACACATTCAGAAGAACGAACATGACCTGCTCAAGTAATCATAGTTTTAATGACAGTCTGGTTCATATCTCAAAGTTTAATGAGACTACAGCACCCAATTCAACTGCTGAAATCAGCAGAAGGTGTAAAAAAGGCAGATCCCGTGAAGACTTTGTACTAAATGTGTCAAACAGAAGCGCTGAGATCACTGAGGGTGTGGTCAACGGAACGATACTCAACAACACGAGCGTCAATGAGGATGTTCAGGGTCTGTTAGTCATCGAGCCATGGAGGAACGTGAGTCACAACGTGCAGCACCACCCCTGTGAGTCTCCGGCCATACAACAAGCTCTGGTGACTCGGATTATTAATGCTCAGGACCTGGAGAGGAACAGAAACTTCTTCCTGTACCCTAAAAAAGTCTTCCACAGCCTGCTCAGGCAGAGAGACGACTTTGAGATAAAGACAAGTTAGACAGAAATAAACAGAGGTGGAATGTAACCAAGAACATCTAAGCAAGTCTACTGTATGTCAGTATAAATTTGAGATACTTGTTGTGTACTAGAGTATTGTCTACACTCACCGGCCACTTTATTAGGTACAGCTGTTCAACAGTTTGTTAACACAAATAGCTAATCAGCTATTTGTGAAAACACATGGCAACAGTTCAATGCATTTAGTCATGTAGACATGATGAAGACGAGCTGCTGAAGTTCAAACAGATCATCAGAATGATGAAGAAAAGTGTATAACCACTGGTTACAACCAAGGTCTGCAGAAGACCATCTCTGAACCAACAACACGTCCAACCTTGAAGCAGATGGGCTACAGCAGCAGAAGACCACACCAGGTGCCACTCCTGTCAGCTAACAACAGGAAACTGAGGCTACAGTTCACACGGGCTCACCAAAACTGGACAATAGAAGATTGGAAAAACCACATTCAGATGGAAGCATGGATCCATCCTGCCTTGTATCAATGGTTCAGGTTGCTTCTGCTGGTGGTGTAATGGTGTGGGGGAGATTTTCTTAGTACCAACTGAGCATGGTTTAAACACCACAGCCTACCTGAGTATTGTTGTTGACCGTGTCCATCCCTTTATGACCACAGTGTACCCATCTTCTGATGGCTACTTCCAGCAGGATAACGCACCATGTCACAAAGCTCAGATCATCTCGAACTGGTTTCTTTAACATGACAATGAGTTCACTGTACTCCAATGGCCTCCACAGTCACCAGATCTCAGTCCAATAGAGCACCTTTGGGATGTGGTGGAACGGGAGATTCTCATCATTGATGTGCAGCCGACAAATCTGCAGCAATTGTGTGATGTCATTATGTCAATATGGACCAAAATCTCTGAGGAATGTTTACAGCACCTCATTGAATCTATGATACCAAGAATTAAAAAGGGGGTCCAACCGGTAATTGCAAGGTGTACCTAATAAGGTGGCCGGTGAGTGTATACATGCCACTTTCCACTTCTGCCCTATTGCATTTCTATTGTATTTTTTTCTAGTACTTTTGTTTCTTTTCTTTACTGTATTTCTGTAGCCTGGTAAGACACAGAGCGAAACAGAATGTTGAGCTCACATCATCAGGATGGTCTCTATATTTAATGTACAACCCCAATTCCAAAAAGTTTGGATGCTGTGTAAAACATAAATATAAAATAAAAACATAATGCAATGATTTGCAAATCCTTTTTGACCTATATTCAACTGAATATTGATGAGCCATACAATGAAGCTATGGGAAAGAGCAGTGGAAGCTAGACTAAGAGCAGAAGCGAGCATCTGTGAGCAGCAGTGTGGTTTCATGCCAAGAAAAAGTACTTCAGCTGCAGTATTTGCTTTGAGGATGTTGAAGGAGAAGTACAGAGAAGGTCAGAGGGACCAGCATTGTGTCTTTGTAGATCTAGGGAAAGCATATGACAGGGTGCCGAGAGAGGAGCTGTAGTATTGTATGAGGACGTCTGGAGTGGCAGAGAAGTATGTTAGAGTGGTACAGGACATGTATGAGAGCTGTAGGACAGTGGTGAGGTGTGCTGTAGGTGTGACAGAGGAGTTTAAGGTGGAAGTGGGACTGCATCGACTGGTGTGATGTGTGATAGAAGAGTACCAGCAGGATTAAAAGGAAAGGTGTACAAGACGGTGGTGAGAGCAGCCATGTTGTTTGGTTTAGAGACAGTGGCACTGAGGAAAAGACAGGAGGCAGAGCTGGAGGTAGCAGAAATGAAGATGTTGAGGTTCTCTTTGGGAGTGACGAGGATGGAGAGGATCAGGACTGAGGACATCAGAGGGACAGCTTATGTTAGATGTTTTGGAGATAAAGTCAGAGAGGCCAGACTGAGATGGTTTGGACATGTTCAGAGGAGGGATAGCGAATATATTGGTAGAAGGATGCTGGGGTTGGAACTGCCAGGCAAGAGGCCTAGAGGAAGACCAAGGAGGAGATTTATGGATGTTGTGAAAGAGGACATGAAGTAAACTGGTGTGAGAGAAGAGGATGCAGAAGATAGGGTTAGATGGAGGCAGATGATTGGCTGTTGCCACCCCTAAAGGGAGCAGCCTAAAGAAGAAGAAGGAGATGGTACAAAAACAAGACTGAAAAACTTGAGAGCACTAATTGTTCAAGTTTTGAAGGCGATATCACCCCCCCAAAAAAAAAAGCTGATCATTTCATTAAAATAGTTTGCAGTCTCTGTGTTTAACATCCTCCTTAAAATACACATATAGACATTGATAAGTGGTATAAGTGGTGAAGTTTTCAGCTCTCATGAGAAATCAGTGCAACATCACCCTCTTGTGGTAGAAAATCCTATCAGTTAGTGTAAATGCAGTAGCTCTAATGTCAGCTGTAATTGTTTATTCTTCAGTGGTGGAAGAAATACTCAGATATTTTACTTAATACTCTGTTACAAATAGTGCAGTAAAAACTAGAAAGTAGAAGAAAATGGAAGTTCCTCAAAACTGGATTTAAGTACAGTACGTGAATAAATGTGCATAGGTTCTTTCCACCTGTTATTTGCACATGCACTACCAACTGGCATCATATCTCTATCATTTTTCAACTCAAATATATATATGACGATATTACTAAAGCCAATTACAGCATTACGGCAGATGGAATCTCCATTTTTAACCAAAAAAAAAAAATCAACAATACTTTAATCACATAATCATTTATTCCAAGAACAGTACCACCTGCTAAATATAAATGGACAGACCAGACTCTCTTGATGGTGAGACATGGAATACTGTATTTAACCTTCCTTACAAATATGTGTTGCCCAACAAATTCAAAGAGGAGCTTTTCAGAACCTGATTTGTTAACAATGTTTGAAAATACAAATTTCTCCAAGAATGAACAATATATAATTAATTCGTCATTGTTTTAGCGAGGATGGCAAAAGAATTGCCTGCGCACCAATTGAACTGAGCTGGATAGCCACAAAAAAGGTTCACAGACTGAGATCAATGTCAAAAAATGTCAAATTATTCAAAACATCCATGCACAAAAAGAAGAGTGCTCAAAGTGCACAACATAATATTGAAAAGTGATAAAAACAGCAGCAAACATTTCAGTCCTTAACTCATCAATGCTGATGCCAATACCAAATATATCCAAGTTTATTACTGTGGGTCCAATAACTGTCTGATGAGTTATTCTAAGACACTGGAAGACAACAGAGGCCCCAGAACTGAAAGAATGGGTTAATGCAATGGTGGAAATAGCATCTTATGAATGTTTGTACTGGAGTACACTTTCATATTATAAGAAATACATGCCTTGTGTTTTTGTATGCCTGGAAAATAATAATATACTAGTACTACTACAGAGTGGTTTATGTGTCAATTTAAAACAGACAAGACATGAAAACAACAACTTTTAAAATAATTTATAAAAACACTATAGTGTTAAAAACTGAAGAAATAAAAGACAGTTTAAATGAACTTAAAGCTCAAGTAAAATCAGGAAAGGCTCTCCGATAATTAAGAGGTGACTTAAAAGAGATCACTGACTTGGCCAACCTGATTTCCGCAGGCACACTGTATGCCAGGTACTGAGCCTTTCAGACCAACACAAATTCGAATTATATAGAAAATATAATAACTAAGTAATTAAGAATTAAGAATTAAAAATTTACAATAAAAGAATGAACAATTTATGATGTATTTGCTCATTATGTTATGCAAAATTTTCTATTCATAGAATTAAACGCTGAAAGAAATTACCCTTGTTTTCTGCTTTTAAAAATCAGATCTAGATACATACCTTAAAACAATATAAAATTTAAATATGTGTTATAAAAAACTAACAACACTTTATAACTAATTAGGTAACCCCCCCCCCCCCCCCCCCCCCCCCCCCCCCCACACACACACACAAGTATGTGTGTTCATACTTGTCTATTTTATTTTATTTATTTTTGTCTGGTTTTACTGAAGTTTGTGTTTAATTATATAATTAAGTATTAATTAGATAATTAATTAATTAATTAATTAATTGATTATCTAATTATTTTCATTTGTAATGTATGGTCTTTACTTACCACTTTATAAAGTAAATATATGAACTAATGTACTGAGCACTGAGTGTATTGTGTTAAAACTGTTTTAATTAAAAAAATAAATAAATAAATAAAAAATAGATAAATAAAATAAAATAAGAAACAACCCTGTTATTTACGCCTCACCGTCTGTGCTTCCATAACGGAAACGGGAAGTGACTGATCACGGGGGGGCGGGGGGCGGTTACGTGAATCCTACCGGAAATCCACCCGTAGAAGAAGAGGAGTTTGTGTTTTTTTTTTTCTCTTCTGCTGACCGCCACCGCCTCCTTTCGTGTGTGCTGACGACACGAGGAGCTGCGTGAACAGATTTAACTTCCGCACACAAACATGAACAGGACAGGCATAGCGCAGTGCTGAGCGTCCGGACAACATTTCTCATAAGGTAACGTTACGTGTTGTTTAATTAATTACTTCACTGTCATTATGTGTTTCAAACTGGATAAACTGCACGCGCATCCTGTCTCGAGTCGGGCTTGTTTCCGTCTCGCTCGAACAAAGTGTCGTAGCTTTAGCTGTTGATTAAAAGCTATAAAGTAAAGGGACGTCGGAGAATATGTGTGTGTAATAATGCTATAAACTAACAACACAACAGTTTGATGTAAAGAGTTCCCAACTTCGCACTGTTAACGAACTACCGCGATGGTTTTAACGATACTACGTAGGTTAGCTCATCGGCTAAAAATGCTAACATGATAATGACCAATAAGAAGCAGCTCTGATAGGTGACATCATTCCAGACAGGTTTTGTTTTGACAAACTATTTAAAATAACAAAGTTTGGCGCCATTTTGTTGACAGACTACGACAAATAATTTAGCCACACCAATTTGTGTTTGCTGTTAGGCTGAAAATAAAAAGCTGTAAAGTTTTTTTTCACCACATTAATGGTGTAAATAAGTAACATCAAAACGATGACTAAGGTCCAAGTAAGCTGACTCTCCCTCTGTGTCCACTGTCCAGCACATACAGTGTGAGTAATGTTACTGTAATTAAGTCAAACTCAAAATGGACCACACCCACAGGCAGTTAGTCATGGTTTTAGAACCTGTGAGGGTAAATACATTGAGCTTAATAATAATAATAATAATAATAATTATAACTTTATTTGTTCAGCACTCTTGGAGCTGAAAGCACAAAGTGCTTCCCAAGGTAAAGAAAATAC